TACGTTAATCGTTGGTAATTCTAATATTTAAAAAATGATTAATGTAAAATACATATTAAATAAAATGTAAAAAAATTTTTTCTCGGGCATTTAATCTAAATATATATATTTCTATAATACATTATACAAATCAATAATTAATTTACCAAAGCGAAACTTTTCGCTTAATAACTCCCGTTTAATATAAAAAAGGAGATAAGAAACTTGTTTCTCAAATAATGATAAGATACCTCTTTAGAATCTACATCATTATAATACTGATAAAAACTCTGAAAACATGAAACACCTGTAATTGTTATTTGGTGCGTCTCTACAATGAATATTCATTATTACCGAATATGTTTTTATTACGATATTGTATCAAATATTATGATAAAACTCAGAAAAAAATATAAATGCTGAAGAGAGATAGTCTTTCAGCCAATCTAGGGAGGAACAAAAGTTCCAATAGCGTCACTGATCGATATAAAGAAAACGAAATCTTGCAGAAACTTCGAGAGTGTTCAAGACGGATCGTTTAGTATCGCAAGACTGTGGCTTTGATCAGCATGCCCGAGAAAAGATTCATACGAAGAGGAGAGGAATATTGAGGAAGGAAACGTGCGATGCACCAACAATGCCGGTGTTTTCAATTATGGGAAGCAAATTTGTCAAGACGCGTAAAATATAATGGACCGGATGTACACTGTCTGCTGATTCTCCCCCGTACTTTCGCTGATTTCTGCACTTCTGGCAGTGGCACGCGAAGTACACGCGCGTATTGCTCAACAATGGATCACCCTAGTCGTCGGTGAGGAAAGAGTTGTGAAGACACTTCCAACGAATTGCTCCCATTCTCTCCCGTTTGTCTTCTTTTTTTTCGTAACTGCAGAATTGCGTCGGATTGCACGTCGTTAGATTGCGCGAACCCTAATTGGATACCGTACTTCGCTATAAATCAATCCAACGACGTGTTATTCCCGCCAGCAAAGAGTGATTTCATTTTGCGCGTATTTCCCGCGGCGAGATACGAGAGAGAGAGAAAAAGAAAGAGAAAGAAAGAGAGAGAGGATGGGATTCTCTCGCGGGAATAATTCTAAAGAATAATAGTAAAAGCTCGTTCAAATTATTTAAGATCTACAAACTTTCTCACTATGTCCGATAATACTTATTACCAAGTATAACAATCATTCTAACTTACGGCTATAGAAAGATGTTTAAAATCGACGAGTCGGCTGAATTCATTATCGTTTCTCTCTCTTTTCTTGAAAGCGACTCTCGTTGTCAGTAGTAAGAATCCCTGATGGAAGTTAATTTAAAATACAATAATCAAGCAATCATTATAAATGTCGACTCCCAAAATCGTGCTAATTACTTCTACGCCTACATCAATCTCGCAGTTCCACCCATACAACACAGACCTCCAAGGAACATTCTAAAAACGTTCAGAGGACGTCCTTATATTCCCTGAATGTTTTAAACTCATATAGCACACTAATATTGAATCAACATATTAGTAACATTGAATGTTGCATCAACATTCGCGAAATGTAGATTCAATATTGAAAAAATACTCACACTTCAACATTGCAAAATTTCAGTAATGTTCTTTCAATGTTCTGTGCTGTATAGGAATGTTGTTGTTACAGCAACATTAGCGATCAATGTAGAAAAATGAGCATAGATTCAACGTTGAAAAACATTTACACTTCAACATTCAACATTGTAACATCTCAACAACATTCTTTTAATGTTCTGTGCCATATACGAAGGATGTTCCCAGAATGTCTTTCGGATAAAGGGTCCTGTATGAGTATTTTCGCGTTTCCTCGACGAAGAGTCGGCCGCGAGGAATCCCCGAGGGGGAGAATACTTTCGCAAGTATTTCTTCTGCCGGGTGAACGGAGCTAACTTAAGAGCATGGTGAATCGACGCACGTGTCCTGAATTGAGCAGACTGGACGGTTGAACCGCTAGCAATGAGCATTGCAATGTACGGTAAAATCGGACAAGAGACGTTCTTGCACAACCGCGATCGACGTTGCATCTTGGCAATGTGCACCGTTGGAGATCGGGTAAAAATGATCTATGCCGTTATAACATTACTTCACGCTGCAGAATCACCGGCGCTCCTTGTGTCCGTAAATTCTTCGGTTGATCTGTAGTCAATCCTGTGGCAACATGTTGAACATTGGTCAACGTAGACTTATTTAAAATTCCATATATCTATTACAGCAATTTGCAGCAATAAATAAAAGCGATTTTTAGACAAACTCGATTCCATGTGGCCGATTATTCGTTAGAAAAATATATGTAACTTTCTAAATAGAATAGAGGAGAACATAAATGGATGTAATATATATGTGGAGAATTATAATATATATATATATATAATATATATATATGAAGAATAATAAAGTATAAAATTATATTATTCTAAATATAAAATCAATTAATTACATTTCAACGGAACGTATTAACTTTAACTACAATGTTCGAATGTAGACATTATTAATTTATTAATCCCAATCTCGCGACAATAAATATTTTATTTTTATATAAAATATTAAATAAGGAACTATGATTTTCAATTTTTCTTGTAAAAAATCTAGGTGTTAATTGCACAAGGTACTTTTGGTGTTAACAAAAAGAAAAGATGAAATGGGGAGAAAATGTAGTGAAGCGTTGAGACGATTGTGCGAACGTCGTTCGCGCAAGTCACGTTTAATAATGCTAACAAGTCTTTACGTGCTTCGCGCACGGCGAAACACGGTGTAACAGTCATTGATTGTCTCAGCACGATGCTTCTTCTTTCATCCTGAGAAAGCTGAAGAAGGGGAGAAAGTTGGAGAAAAAAATCGATCGTCTTCCACGAGCAATACCTTGTTCGTAAATTCACAAGGAGGAAAGCGCCGATCGGCGTGCGTATTGCCCGGCGATCTTCCGCGACGATTTATACGCTGGCCGTTGACTAGGCTATTTACGATTCAAATGATCCGGGAAAGAATAATTGAAATGGAAATGAGCAGAAGCTACGACCTATCGCGCGTTTCCAGCTGTTCGAGCAACGCGGCGCGCGTAAGTGCCTGTCTCATATAAGAATTATGCAAGGCGTATATCCTTTTCAACCGGTTGGTTAATCTTTTCGCGCTGCTTACGCGACTGCGGTCGTAAATGATGACAAAATGGTAAGAAAAATTAGTCAAACAGTTTTCGAGTAATGAACGATTTAAGAAAAATTAAAGATGAAGCTTTCTTCACGAACTTGTCGAAAGTAACTAATGCATATAATGCACAGAAATTTTAGATTTATTTTTAAATTATATTTGTTAGCAACATTTTATTAAATTAATATAATTTCTATACAATATATAAATAATATTTTAATGCTTCTTTTTTATATTTTTATTTTATCATATTTTGATTTTGATTTTATTTTTATACTGATTTAGACAGTTGCAAAAAATTAATAAATTCTTAAAATAAATTTTAAAATTTTAAAATTAAAAGATAATTTTTATTGTAAAAGAGTATATAAAAATATTTCTTTATTTGTATAAATAATACTTATTTGGTTCACTTATATATTAATTGTGTCCTTTTTCATTTCTTAATTAAGAATTATTTCTAAAGTTTTACTCTTTTCTTTTAACTTAATAAGAAAGAAGGATGTATGGGGAGAAGACATATTTCGATATTTCATATATAATTATATGTTTATGTATTTAATTAATGTTTATATATTTTTATATATGTATATTCGCATGTGACCATTTATAAGGATAAAATTTATTTATTAATAAAATTGGCAAGTATAATTTGTAAGAAGTGAGGCCCCGTTGCGTCTATGTAAAAAATTGTGAGTTAAGGAAATCTTTCTCTTCCCGAGTTATTTACGAATAACGCAACGCTTGAAAAACCGGGCATGAGCTAAAAACGGGGGTGAGGGAAATATTTTCACAGGGATAAGATCGCCGTTAGCTATATTGTCTCGTGTCTACCGCTGATCCGTTGCGAGTTTTTCTGCTAAATATAAATGGAACAAACGCCGATAGATTGATTATTCATCGTTTCTATCTAACGGACTGAAAATCGTGGATATAGCGTAGAATAGAAAATAGAATAGAACAAAAAATCGTGGACATTACTGATAAAATCATGGACATTGACTATGTAGTTCAAGTCCACATTGTAGACATAGAGGCGCTTCAAAATAAGATAGTCACTACATTATAAAGTACCGCAATGACTTTAAGGGTGGAATCCTACCATAGACGGTGCTCAAGATTCGAGATGGTCTTAAGTTAGTGCATGAACCAATCAGAGAGCCGTATTAGCATCTTAAGACCTTGTAGTCGATTGTGTATCTTGAAATGAGGTGAAAATTACAAAAGTGAACAAATTCACTACATATTGACCAATTAAATTATGAATATTCTAGTGAATTAGCTCACTTTTGTGTAATTTTCATCTCATTTAGAGATACACAATCGACCCCCTTGCTTGAGATTAAGGGTGCATTCCGTTTCATTCATGATGTGCATAAAGCTGGTTCTACATTGATCGCATCGCAGTGTCGCAAGCGTGTTGCAAGCGTTGTAGTCCAATCAGAGTCGAGCTAGCTTGACTGGACCGCAACGCTTACGACGCTGCGATGCGACTAATGTAGAACCAACTTTATGCATCATTTACTCTTGTTTAACATTCGATGAGTAACAAGGATAAATGATGCATCATGCGCATCATGCACGAAACGGAACACAGCCTAAGAACGGACTATGGATTCCGGCCTAAGATTTCACCGACACTAACCGCCTCTCGTGAGTCACAGATAATATCGATACTCGAACTTAAAATCACATAAGCACAGTCGATAACATCTGCAGATAAAAAAAGAACGTTTTAATTTAAAACATTCTAATTCTGACAAAAATAATCTGTACTACACAAGAATAATTGTACTCTCGGTTTTAAATTTAGAAATATCAATAAATAAAATGTAACACTTAAATTGTGCCTTTATGCTTGGATCACAGAGAGTATTGTGTTACAATAATCAATCTAAAATATAAAAAAAATGCATATATTATACATTGCTTATTTATACAGAAAATCCCACTCAATCAAATTTTTGCAAATTGACATATGACTCAAATTACATATAAGATAAAAATTGGCGTAAAAGTAAAAATAATATAATTTAATGATTCTTTTGCATACACACATTATTTTCAACACGTAAACTTGCACACAGCGCATTCCATTCGCACATTCCTGTCCTATATCTCTTCTCTATCAACCAAGTATGAGCTTTATGACTAATGTCAAGATATTGAAGAATATCAGAGGAACTGAAAATTAATATATTACGTAGAAAAGTTGTACAAAAATCACAATGCTAAATAGGCATAAGTCTTTCATTATAATTACCCCTCATCACAGTTCGTATCGACTTGATGAGATTTAATATTTGCGACTTAGCTGTCGGAGGTTCTCCAAATCCTTGTACATTTTGCCATGACGCCCAACCAACTGTAAAATAAAAATATAATAATTCATAAACTATAATAGTATAATACTTTATAAAGCATAATAATTAATAAACTGTAATAATTTTTTAACTTATCCCTGACTGATAATAAACATAACATATTTAAAGAAAAATAACTTTATTCCTCAAAATTGAAAATTATAACCTATAATATTAACCTTTTTTTAAGTTAAAAAGATGTACATTTATAAGTTCATTTAAATAAATAAATATGATGAATGCGTGCTTAATTATCACCTTTCGCGAGAAATCTTTCCTCGTTCAGAACACAAATCGCATTCAAACATAACAAAGTTGCTTCGAAGAATGTCCACAGTGTGAACGCCATATTGCTGGAATTGTCATGAATTGTCTTCCACAATCCAGCATGGTCATGCCAGCATTACCGACTATTACCGACGTATTTCTTATGAAAGATCTGTTCGCGCTTACTGCACTTTTCTCATTTTATATCATGTGTTTCTTCTTTCTCTTTGCTTTTTTTCAAACTTTGGAAAAATAATTTTTAAATTATTAATAAATTGTATTCTTTTTTAGATTGTTGATAAAATAATCTGTATCACCTTATCATCTTATCAAATTATTTATAATTATTTGTTAACATAATTTGGATTTATTTTTAAATGTTATTTAAATTGCATAAAGCTGCAAATTAATTGACCATTGTAAGCGAAGAATGCTATATCATAGCAGTATATATTTGACTTGATTTTTTTGCAATTTTAGTGGTTTCTTATCTTTTCCTATCTTCTATGCTCATATCATTGAGTCTCCTCCTCCCTCTTTTACAAGTATTTCTATACATATATTAATCCAATAAAACATACTAAATAATAAGGGCAGACATAAAAAGAGATGTAAATGACAATGTAGATTAAAATACTTTTATTTTTCTTACATTTATCATATATAAGATTCGGGGAATTCGAACGTGACGTCCCGTCCAGTCAGCTGCTTGTAAACTGAAGCGAAGGTGTCGACCTGTTTAAAGATATATCAAAGTATATAACAATTTGTTGTCAAACGATAGAACTGATATTTTACGTAAAATAAAGGAGAATAAATGATCACCTTATGCTCGATATTTGTCTGTTCGTTTTTATCGAGATGAACTTTAATGAGCTGTGATCCATCGAGTTTGACTCTAATACGCTTGCCAACGATTTCTACGGGATATACTAAATCCTCCAATATCGCATCATAAACCGAAGTCAGCGTACGGCTGAAAGAAAATGTATCATAGAACATTAATCACACAGTTATGTGCAATATTATATTGACAATTCTATTAATATTATATAAATATAATCGTTCTATTCAGCTAAAGTATATCCTTTTTAGCTAAACTTCTTGTACAATTTATCCTCTTTTTTTCTCTCTCCAATATGAAAAGAAAGAGAAAACATGGACCGTACAATAGTTCAGCTAAAAAGAACAGGACTCTAATTTCACCTAAACATAACTTATATTTTTATCTAGTTTTTTTTTACTTTCTTACCTTCTAGGACGTTTCTGCTTGTTCTTGGTTCGCGTTTTCCTTGTCGGCTTGGGCAAGATTTTACGCTCGCCGATGAACATCACATGCTTCCCAGAGAACTTTTTCTCTAACTCACGTACCAGCCGTGTCTGAACTTTCTGGAATGCTTTCAGCTTCGGCATAGGTACGTATATAATAATGGACTGTAAGAAAACAGAGCTCTGTCTCAAAATAGTTTCTTAAAGGAATATTATACAAAAAGATATCAGAGTGTAAATGCTTTACTAAAATTAATTTAATTTGCATGTAGTTGCAAGTATGTAAAGTCATTAAAAAAATAATTTTAACATAAGATATGATTCTATACAAAAGCAGTCACTCGTAGTTCTGAATTTTGGATTCTCAATCTCGACCAGCATATTTCATGAATACTTATTTTTATAAAAAGTTGATTGGTGGAAGATTACACAAATAAAAGAATATGATAAATAGTAAATTATTTAAGAACTCATATTTCATTACTAATACCTACCGAATAGGTATTAGTAATGGATAAAAATATAGCGATAACCTGCAAACCCTCTCTTTAAAGATAACAGCCATGAAAGCCTAAAAAGCGTTAATGCATATTTTAATTGAAAATAAAAAATAACAAACTTGATTTTTAAGGTCTTAAATAAACAAAAAAATTATTAAAACATATTGAAGAATGGATTCAGATAACAAGCAGGTTGCAAGAAATGAGATTTTACCTTCTTATTATTCGTTTCAATTTCCTTCGCTTTCGTGATGTAGAGTTCCCTCAACTGCGATTTGAGATCGCTGTTCATCTCCAATTCGAGGAGGGCTTGAGAAACGCTAACCTCGAACTGGTCGGGCTCGGCCCCATTACTCTTAATTATCTTCGCGTTCGTCGTCAACATCTGAAAAGATTTTGAGATCGAGAAATTAATTTGTATCCATAAAAAACACGAAATTTAACGGAACCTACTATAATTGCACGACATGTGTGATCCTAAGAAGAAAATTTGTCATACATTCTAAAGCTTAAAAAAAAACACTTATTATAAATATTCCACACATTTCTCAAAGTCCCAAAGCCATATTAACTTAAAGTGAATTTCTCAAAAGTACGTACTTTCCCAAGACTCATCCTTCCTGAAGAATTCCTGCTCCGTTGGTTTCTACCAGGATGCGGCTAGAACAACGTGCTCGACACGAGACAGAAGAGGCTTAAGCCCGTATCAGCGCTACTTTGTGAGGATTAAAGGTTAGGTGCGACCAATCGGGACGAAGCAAATTGAAATCGGCGTGATTTGATTGGTCGAAGTCTGATCTCCCATTTATGCGTCTCATTCTCAATCCAGGCTTAAGCTGACTTAACCTTTTATTTTAAGAGAAATGGAATTACGGAGAAATTCTCGATTATTTCATGTTTTCAGGAGCATCGTTCATTAATATTTCTTTTTTCTTGCGAAGAAGTTGAGGCCATACGGAAATGCAAAAGCAAATCTTTTATTATCTGATTTACTTTGATTTGTAATAAAATCAGTTGCAACAAAGCTCGTTAAATATTTAATCCAACGAGAAAGATTGTACTTTTTATCCATCAGTTGCGACTTTTCTAGCGTTATTTCGTACATTACGTTTAAGTTTAAAGAATACTGTTATTATAACATACCGTATATAATAACATAACATATTTTATAAGTATAATACAAATATCATAAATCATTGCGTGCGAAACTTATTGTATTTTAAGGTTATGTCGACGCGACATTTTCGTGCCTGACTCGTCAACTTTTTAGTAAATGAAATAAATCTGTATGTTAATTGGGGCCGATGAGCAGAACAAAGCATGTTAACCTAACTCAAAATCGTTCCTAGTTATATTTGTGTCTCGCAATATTATTTATTTTGTAACGGAATTTGTAAATTCGAGTATCAATAGTAGATTAGAACAGATTGTTCTGACAGATATATTATAAACCCATCGTAATAATATAAAAATAATAAGTACAGTTTTGTGCTACATTTGTGCGTCTTGTTCGACATCTTTCATTGTGCGAAGAGATTAGGAAATAATTTTGTCGGTTATTATAGGTAAAGGCAAGCAAAAATTTGAAGAATATAGATAACTTGATTTGTAACTCTTTCATACAGTTTTTTTTCTTGTAAAAGGTTTGTGATTTCAAATGATGTATACTCGTATACTTTAAGAGCTATTTTTCCTTGTCTCAAAAATGGCACTTGTTATCCATAATTTTGTCTACAGGCAATACATCAGATTTGTATCAATGTCCACGATGTCTGCATCATCATCTATGGATGAACGTATGTTGAAGGGAATACGGAAGGTGATACCAAGTTTAATCAATACCAAATACAAGGGTCAAGACGGCAGAATTGGAATCTTTGGGGGTAGCACCGAATACACGGGAGCACCATATTTCGCAGCCATGAGTGCGCTAAGAACCGGCGCTGATCTTGTTCATGTATTTTGCATAAAGGACGCTAGCATTCCTATTAAGTCATTCAGTCCAGAGCCGATAGTTCATCCAGTTCTGGACCATCAGGATGCGATAAAACAAATAAAACCCTGGCTTGATCGTCTGCATGTTATTCTGATCGGACCTGGACTTGGCAGAGATGAGAAGATATTCAAAACGATCGTTGAATTGATAACGATCTGCCGAGAGGCAAGGAAGCCGCTGATTATCGACGCGGACGGCTTGTTCCTGGTCTGTCAGAAGCCAGAAATCATAAAGGATTATCCTGGTGTTGTCCTAACACCTAACGCAATGGAGTTCAGTCGTTTGATCAAAGCAGTACTCGACAGGAATGTCCCACCTACTCCTGTAGTTAAAGTTTCTGACATGAAGCACGTGGCGGAAACTCTTGGAAAAAATGTCATAATTCTACATAAGGGAGCAAAGGACGTGATTGTAGATGGTCACAAAGGCACCGAGACTGTATCGTGTGCATTGGCTGGTTCTGGAAGGAGATGCGGTGGACAGGGAGACCTCTTATCTGGTTCATTAGCGGTATTTTGGTGGTGGGCTATCTCTGCAGGAACTAACGAATGTGCCTTGTCTCCTTCGATAGTAGCGTGTTACGCCGCATCAAGATTAATTCGAGAATCCAACGCGTCAGCCTTTAAAATAAAACAGAGGGCAATGTTGACTTCAGATATGCTGGAACAGATACAACCGGTTTTTAGCAAGATCTTTGAAACTCATTGCGACAAGTAACGCACAAATGCATCACAATCTTCTCTTTTAATTGTGTTGTTTCCAAATAGCAGTTTTTTTTATTTTATAAAATGTTATTACATACTAATATTAAGTAAAAGAAATTCGGATAAGCAGTATCAATAATTATATTACCATTTCATATTATTATGGATTTTAGAATTTCCTCGTTTATTGGAAGAGGTCGAACTCGAAGCATTGATTCCTGAAGCGTATACATTTATATACAATATACAAAATTTTTTTGTGAATATATTACATAAATTGAAATAGTATATATGCATTTAGAAAATTGGCTTCAAGAAAATGTATAATACATTAATATATAAATGTACTTTTTTTATCATTTACAATTTTTATATAAAAATTTTGTTTATAAATTGTAAGTTTATATAAATAAATATTTTTTATAAAAATTATATAGTTTATATATTTATTGATATTAAATTCTCTTAATGTAGATATATATATATATATATAAAGTTCCTCGACTAAAAACGTTAGTTTTATTTTATTAATTGTTTATTGTAAGATTTGTATGGTAAGAATAATTAGAGCTTGCTCTTACCAGTCTTTTTATATATACATATTGTTTATTATATTTTAAAACAAAAATCAACATCCCTATATATAAACTAAATATAATACACATTAACTTGTATGAATTATTATGTGTTTTTAAAGTACTATAATGCTCTGAGACATTCGCCTTGAGTCTGTTAGGAATAGATCTTCAGATATTTTACAGGCACATACAGTTGCATTAAGATACCAAGCATACATTGTTACTTATTTTACCTCATACAAGCATTTCACACAATCACACGCATACATATCTAGCTTTATTATCTATAGTTGTGTTAAGTTACCTAAATTATCATACGCGCGTATATATTATATATAGTTGATTATTATACACTGATGAGTATTGAAACGTACAAATGGACTGCGGCAACTTTAGACACGCCGTTAAAACTTTACTTGCAAATCAGAACTCGCACCTACGATTATCACAATTAAACAGATCAATTTCACAAGACATTTCTTCACTTTCCTGCATTTTTATGACAATGCTATCTTTTACGTGATTTTAAAATAATTAAGATTGAATAGAAATGTCACTAAGAATTTTATCCGACCTGCGATTCTGCCACTGTTTACAGACAGCAATCTTGTATAGCACTATATGTACTATCATGCTGTACACTGTCATATAAATATGTGTATATTTTATTTTGTTTTTCTTTTACTTGCTTTGCCAAATTATGATACCAATCAAAATCACCAATATGACCAGCGCGATCGCTACAAGAAAACACTTCTTCTTGCGTAGCTTAGTCTGATACATACTCGCTTGCCTTACTTGAGAAGCACCTTCGTTAACAGATACCTCGGTTCTTTCAACTGATGCTTCTATAGAATCAATCACCTCTCCTTGATCGTATACTAAAGCTCCAAGATCTTTGAATATTTGGTTAATATCGCTAATGTTACTCTGCAAAACGATAAACATACGTATAAAATGTATTCACATATAAATCTTTGACAATCTTGAAAGCACTTACCTCCAATTGCCTTATACTAGCTTCCTGTTCCTCTAACATTCGTAAATTCATCTGTTCTTGCATCTGTTCCTGCTGCTGTTTTGCATGATCACTTCCATATGTTCTACTGTCTTGCAACTCGATAAGAGTATCCTGTTTCTTTTCTCCAAACGGCGCAATACCTGCACTAGCCTTAGCCTTCCTGACCATTTCTTTCTCCTTAGAAGCAGCTAGCCTTTGTACAGCCTAGATTCATAAACATATAATACAGCTTAGATATATGAACACGTAATTATCACGTATTAAAATATATTTATATCGATATTTACTTGAAAAGAATTTAATGCAGTGGTAAATTCATCTTGAAGGCGTTCCCTCTGCATTTTCCGCTGTCTTTGTTCCCCAGGGCTCGTAGAGCCAGAGTTATTCGCTAATACAGCCAAATCTCGAAGATGAACGCTGGTATCCTTCGCCAGTTGTTGTGTGTAGTGCTGTATCTGATGCCTGCAAAATAATAATTTCTCATCTCCGTTTATTCAGATATACTAAGATTTAATTAGGTTCCTCCTCATTATCAATCTAATATATTGTATGTTGGTAATTAAATCAGTGTCAGTAAGGGCTAATTTTACCATCTCTGATCAGCTTGATCAGTCAATTATGTGTTAATTATGATGATCAATTCTGCTTAACAAATGAGGTTCGGTTCCACCAATGTAAAATTAGGAATTAAAAAAAGATAAACAGTAAGTTAAACCAAGATTAAAGTTAATTGTATATTTTTCTTAGAATTACATCTTTCTTAAAATTAAAAAAATAAAAAATGAACAGAGATTAAAGTTAATCTTAACAGTGATGAAACTCTAGGTTATTAAATTCCAATAAAATAATGGACAGACCAAGTTGATCTTAGATGATGAATCCTAAATCAGTGACTAAAGAGGCAAAACTGAATTAAATTTTATCATGTCTGTTTCTACCAATGTAGATTAACTTTAATCTCGATTCAACTCACTCATCTTTTTCCAATTCTTAGAACTGAAACAAGATAAAGAGTAAAAGCAGGTTTATAATAGGTGGTTACGGCTTGTTATAAACTGGCTCTAAGTTGAACTAAGATTAATCTACATGTCTATTTTTTATTTCTTCTAAACTGGTACACACTATGCAATAAAAGACAAACGTACGTTTATTTTATTTCAACTTACTGCACCATGTGTACCAATTCATAGAATGCAGGAATAAAAAACAGATTTTTTGATGGAAAAGGGCATTCATATACTTCTTATGACTTACAGCTGATTCCTGAGTTCTTGAGAATCAGTGGAACTGCCCAGCTGATTGACCATTTTCTGCATGGAAGACACTGCGAGCAAACCATCGAAATAAGTATCTCGTATTTTTTAAACCAAGCTTGTTAATTGCAGAACCTACCATTTTGTGATATCTTCAATATCGAAGTGCCAATTGATTGGGACAACCTGCCAAAGTCCTGTTCTCGCGTGGGACCACCGTTGTGGTACGATGAGAATCCGGCATCCATCTTTGAGCTGTCAGTGACGTTATTACCTAAATTATACAAATTCAATTATACGATATTGTATATGGACATCTTTGTAATGCGTACATTATATTTAATACGTCAAAATTAAAGTTCTCGAGTCTTTCTCTGGATAATCCTCGTGAATAACGTTAGATAGAACTAACCAATTATCGTAAATGTAAGTCACTCCTCGGCGTTTCTCTATGATGAAGCTGATGACGCGGTGCGGATAATGAGGCTCGCGATCGAAAAATACGTCGCGTTGACAATCGCTGTTTTTTAACGTGCAATCCCACTCCTGTCACGCGTATATACGCACTGATACACACTTGTCAACACCGAGTGACAAGTGGGTCGATCGCACGATGAGTCACAAAGCTAGCGTAGCAACAGACTCCGCTTCTCGATATCCCATGACATGTACGGCCGCGCGAATCTGGAGAATTCTTTGGTGAGGCGTACAACGAAAGCTTCTTCTCGCGTTAATCGATAACGGCCGGACGAGACGGATCTCTCGAACGAAAGTCGCGTATCGGGGACGTATCACCAGTCGATCGTAAGATCCGCTCCGAGCGACACAAGACACGAAGCCAACAAAGCTCCGAAGCCCGACGGGAACGAGACTGTCTGGGGCACGTGACACCGTTCCGTAGGCCGTATCCAATACGAGAATTCCTCTTCTGTCATTTATGTCCCGTTCAGACGGACTTGCATTCTTGCATAACCGCAATGGGAAGTGGGGAGAAAAGAGGAATACAAAATTCATTCAACATACAAAAGGATATTTTTTTACTCCTGCATTAGACTGCACTAAAAAAAACTTTGCATTCATATCTGCACTAGAATTTTCTCGCTTTCACCAAAAATCAAACATATACTTATCTCACTTCCAAGTTCTAAAAACTGGCTACGTTTACACCGTGCGCTTAGTCCGCGACCTATACGATAGATGTCTTTGTTTAATATACAGGATAAACAAAGACATCTATTGTATAGGCCGCGGACTAAGCGCACGGTGTAAACGTAGCCAGTATATGCAATTCAGCCACAGAAAAAATACCAAGACCAAAAAAGTACTTTTTTTATGCTGACGGTTATTGTGTCAAAACGACTCACATGATTAAAATTAACGCTTGATGTTCGTTAATTTTGTTTACGTGATCTATTTTATAGTGCTAAAAATGATCATAAACTGCATATATCTTTTTTTTTTAAGTTCGCTGAGCGCAGCAAAATCAGCCAATCGCGTATAAAGGCTGTGTTCCAAATTTACTGCCAGTACTGAAAATCTTTAGTGCACGTAACGTAAACTGTAGCAATGGCTGCGTTCAGCAGACTCAACAGTTTTGCAACCGTTTTATGATTGTCTGCTGAGATAGGACCATTCTTCTAGATCTAAAAGTATGATCCAATTAGCGCGAAGGAAACTTACAACAGTTGCAAAACAAACGTTCTGCTGAACGCAGCCAATGGCTGCGTTCAGCAGACTCAACAGTTTTGCAACCGTTTTATGATTGTCTGCTGAGATAGGACCATTCTTCTAGATCTAAAAGTATGATCCAATTAGCGCGAAGGAAACTTACAACAGTTGCAAAACAAACGTTCTGCTGAACGCACCCATTAGGTGCATCCAGAAGCACGACCCTTCAATGGCTACGTTTACACCGTGCATTTAGACCGCGGCCTATACAATAGATGTCCTTGTTTATCTTGTAGGTTAAACAAAGACATCTATCGTATGGTCGCGGACTAAGGGTAAAATCACACGGTGCGGAAAAAGACTGCGGAATAAAGAATGCGTCATTGAAGCAACC